TTATCTAGATTCATTTAACTCAGCTAGAAGGACTGAGATTCAAATTTTATCAGAAAAACAACAAACTTTTTATTAATTTTAACCAGCACTTAAGAGTGCGTACAACTATCAGGATTTTTTATTGGCATCAGCGCAGTTAACATACGATCTAATGGTCAATTTCCTACTGACAAACCCAGCATTCGCTTCTCAACTTCAAAAATACCTTTTCAAGAAACGTTTCCTTTTTTACGTCCGAATTGAGAGATATTTGCAGATGCAGCCAGCCCAGTACATGGTATGCAAGCTGTATAATATGAACACTTCCTGATTTGTTCGCTGCTTCCAAATATTTCTTCCCGTGCTGCAACGCTTTCGCATTCTCCTGGATACCTGCAAAATAGTGATGCCTTTAAATATTCATGACAACTGCGACTTTCTGATAATAATGGCCTTAGTAAGCAGTAAGGCTGTTGCTTTTAATTAAGGTATTCCAATCAGCCGACGCGATTAGATTTTTTAATTTAGCACAATGTTTATCGAAGGAATTGTCCAAGTAGCCTTATTAAGTAGGAATTATGTCTATTTCATCGCCATTATTTTGATCAACTCAAATATCCTAAACCCAGACTGGAACGCACCGGCAGGTCGCTAATAACAGGAATGATCCCTGCGCTGTAACCTAACACTTAGGGACATACTGGCACCCCTAAATGTTAGGTTACAGCGTGCAGGAGGAAGGGCTTCGGTTGGGATGAAGGTGATGCATTATAGAGCTGCATGGATCTTCAGGCACAAGATTACCAGTTTTTTGCATGAAGCCTAGTCATTTTTTTGGTAAATGCTTGCTTTCTGAAAAAATGAAAAATGCAAATTTCCAGTTCACTAGAAAGTGAAAATGTTGCTCGAGCGGTGGTTCGTCAAAAAACCCAAGTATGCATGTGAACTAAATGTTCATTTACATATTTAGATGAGGAGGGTCGTTCGCTGCAAAACGCACTCGTTTCTGGTTTTTCGATAAAACAGTATTTCTCACGCCCACCTACACGGAATTTCACTCCCAAACAGAATGAAGTTCGCATTTAAAAGTAGGACCCCAGTAAATCTTCAGCTTCGCAGCTTATCCGGTACGCGAAATATCCACTTTGCTAAAAATATCTTTGAAGTGCCCTAATCGTGGTGCAAGTGCAAGTCGTTACTCATTTTAGGTATGCGATTTTCCATATGGTGACAAACATGCTGACTAAATTCCAGCCAGTGTTTTCCGGCAAGTTTTCGAGGTAGCACAGTACCAAGTTGCAAAATTTGACGTGATCGTACGCGCTGCACAAGCATGTGTGACAGCTGAGTTTGAAATCTTTAGCTTGCACATGCACAGAGAAAATCGCTGCGAAGATTGAGCTTTGTGCCTTGCCTGGTTCGAAAAATCGTTTCCCGCCAAAGAAATATGCATATTTTTTGGAAGGGTCCGTAAGCGGGTTCTGGGCGCGTGTGAGGGAAAATCTTAAAACGGGAGGGTGACACACGGGGTAGGAACATCAACCCAAAATTCAACCTCCTAGCTTTCCTCGTTGCTGAGATGAAAATGGGTGGCAAAATGCACTCGCTTCCGAACACACACACAGACGATCTCTCGACAATACGCGTTTTGGCCGCGATAGCGCTGTTATAGTGCTCCACAGCAAAAACGTATAAAAAGGAAGCTTTACGGTTTTCATCTGAAAATTTTTTCCAAGTTGCCCCTGCATGGCCTTTTGTATATGATCAACTGGAAAACTAAAGGTCAGGAGGCAAGTGTAAAACCAAAAATCCAGCCCTATCATCTATTTCTATGTTTAAGAAGCAAAGACGTCTAGGAACGACTTATACGATATTACTGGCAAGACTCTCACAACAACCTTTGAGGGTTACTTAGAAAAGCAGTTACTAAAACTCGGCTCCATTCGCCTTGGCCGATTTGAAAGGTGAACTGTAATTACTGGGGGGCGGGAGTAGGGGCACAGCCGGGTGCGGAAGGAGAGAGGACGGGTCAGGGGTGGTAGTTTGGGTCTCGCGGTAATAAGGGACGGATTTCTTCTCAGTTACTTAGATTAATTTTAATCTTTTGAGCAGGAGAAAAATATACTGTTAC